GAAATGTGAGTTTATTATTCTCAAATCGAAGAGATGTGGATGGAAAAATGGATGGAAAAGAAGGAAAAGAATTGATACCAGCTGAGGATTGGATAGACATAGCACCATGTTCAGTGATAGAAGCCTTAGCAGATGGAATTGAACTCTCTGAAACATGAACCTGTGCATTCAGTTGTTGTATCAATGTCTGAACCTGATCATTGCTCAATGTGCTGACATCAAAATTTATTGGTGGAGTATTCGAGGTCGAAGCAGCATCAGTCATGACATTTGCAACAGCATGAGACGATGGCCGTGCAGCAGTAGTAGTAGACTGTCCTCGATACTGATATGATGAAGTAGGAGCTTGAAAAGATGTTTGTGGTCGTTGTTGTTGTGGTGCTTGATATCCAGAGAATGTGCTTTTGAAACCAGGGATGTATCCTGGGGGATAACCATGCAACTTAAAGCATTTTTGAACAACATGACCAGCCTGTCCACAGTGTGTGCACATAGGACGTGATGATGGCCGGGGTCGATAGCTACTATTGTTGTAGACTGCAGCATATGCACTATTATCCGATAGACCTTGATATATCATTTGATTCGGAGATGGAGCTTGATAACCCTGCATATTATCAGAAGCATGAAATACCATTCCCTCTGGCTTTGGCTTGATAGACTTCTGTCTTTCATCAGAGACAACCATGTTAAAAACATCTTCAAGATTGGGGATAGGCTTTAACATCAGAATGTGTCTCCTAGTTGATTCATAAGATTCATTCAGCCCCATCAAAAATTTTGTTACTCTGCTTCTTTGCTGCAATTTTTCCCAAAGTGCTGCTGCAGTACATTCACATCTTCCACAAGTACAAATCGGCAATTCCACATAATTTTTGTATTCTTCCCACAATGTTACCAATGCTGTGTAATAAGAAGCAATGGTCATTGAACCTTGTTGAATCGAGCAAAGCTTCTGCTCTATCTCATACACCCTTGGTGCATCATCTTGCTTGAATCTTGCCATTAGATTTTTCCAAATTCCCTCAGCAGTAGAGATGTATAACAAGCTCTGTCCAATCTGCTTATCAACAGAATTTATAATCCAAGTAGTAACAATGTCATTGCATCGCGACCAAGATCCAAAATCTCGATGGTCTTCTGCAGGTTTTGGTATCGTTCCATCGATAAAACCAAGCTTATTTCGCACATTAAGCGCCATTCTAACAGATCTACGCCAAGAATAGAACTCAGCTCCGGTTGAAAGTCGATCAGAAACGATTGACATACCTGCGTGATCAGAATTATGCAAGAAGTACGGATTATCATACTGATCCGTCGTAGTAGTCCGAGTTGAATCACGAGTTGAATCACGAGTTGAATCACGAGTGGATGTTTGAGTTGTCATGATTATTGAATTCCAAGATGAGAAAATGCCAAGAAAAGATCGAATCAAGAGAAATGAAGATGAATCAAGAGAAGAAAGAAAAGAATGAGAGTAGCGGAAGTGAGAAACGAATGAAGAAGATTGGTGAAATTTTTGAAAAAGATTGAAAACAGATGACGATTTGAAGCACTCATTGATTAAATCGATCGATGAAGAGAAGTAAACGAAGCTCAGAGGACAAATCGTAGCTGAACGAAGCTCACGACGCCATGGATGACTGAGTTGACTCGGTTTGAGATGAGTGAGTGAGAATGAGAAAAGTTTGTTACAAAGTGTAGAGAGAGTTTAGTGCTCTGATACCATATTAACACTTTGATATGAAAGAATAGAATTCTCATTAATGAATCATAAGACTGTACAAGAGTATTTATATGTACATGTATATTAAGAGTAGGAATAAGCTAAAGGAAACCTTATCCTATTCTAAGTATACAATATAAACATTATATGTTAATAAGCGCAATATGCTTCACTTAAAACTGTAGGCTTGTATATTTAACAAGTGGATACTGACAATACATGACATTCCGGTTGTCTCTCTGGTTACTTAGGTCTTTCATTTTGTCATGTCAGAGAATCCCTTTTACCAGTTATGCCCCATATATTTTGAATTTTGGTCAACTGTTTCATGTTCCTCTGTCTGTTTCTTCAGTATGACATGAAGCTTTTGGCGGTAGATATTCCAATGGCTTCTGGTACAGACCAACGGTTATTTCTGATTGGTGATGAAGAAGAGTACAGAGTTGGTGGTGGTTTAATCTCTGTGTTAAGAGACCCTGTTGTGAAAGCCATGGCAGCAACTAAGGAGTTCGATAATCTTGACAGAATTGAGGAAGAAGAAGACGCTGAAAGAGAACTTCAAGAAGAAGCCGAAAGAAAGCATCGTGAAGAGATAAAAAAGCTCGAAAAAGAAGGCTTATAAGTCATATTTTCTTCCCCAGAAGAGATATAAAAACAACTCCATGAATCTTTTCAAAACCCAGTTTTTTTGGCTAACTTTTGAGAAATAATTTTCCCTGGCTATGTTATCAGAGGATGCTATTGTGATTACTTATTCTTCATGCGAGGATGCAGCCTGTGCTATGAAATCTTTTGGTTTACAACTTTGTCATGTTTTCACCGGTTTAAGCTTAATAAATGCACAACATAGGCAACACAAGAGTATACCGTCGTTTGAGTCATATTATATGTTTGTCTTTAACCAGTTTCTGGTCTACCAAATTAGCTAATAGTTATTGTTAATCAAAACCAATTTCCCATCGCATGTATGATGTTACTAACCCAAAAAGAGATGTTTTGTTGATTAAATTGAACCTTCTCTGGATCTTTCTTGCTGATGTTTCTGAATTTCTTTTCACAGAAATTTTTTGATCTTGATCTCTGCTTTATCTTTTGTTCCTTGCTTTGAGGCTGAAACCAATTATGAGGCAAGAACAATCTGAAGTTGGCAGGACCTAAAGGTAATCCATTATCATTTTCTTCTTTATCAACCCTAAATAGATAGGTCCTTCATTTATATTCCTATCCATCTGTAGTTTTCTCCTTTTCTGTTTGGCATTTGTTAATATTGAGGAAAAGGGTTTTTATTTGTGCTGTTGATTCAGAGAGCTAATGATCCCCCAGAATCATTGTACAAGAACTAATGGTGATAGGCTTTGGTCGTGTAAAGAGTTAATGGGGAATCATTATACAAGAAATCAGGCTTTGGTCTTGTAAAGAGTTAATGGGGAATCATTGTACAAGAAATCCTTGTTGTAGAAAGGTAAGATTTTTACCCTCAGGATTGAAGCGTTAGGAGATCATGTCAAAACTAATTGGCAAATTTATATGGAAAAACTGTTCAAATAAGCCTTGTGCAGCTTCAGATGAAAAATGGTGATAGAAACTCTCTTGTTCTTAAACAGGTGTGGTCATGTATATGCTGTTGCAGCAGCAGGAACAGGACTCAAGCTTGGAGCAAAAAATCCTGCTATATAAAAGGGATGGTCCATCCCGTAAGTAGAATCGAGAAGTGGGAGGAGAAGATGACAGAAGCTAAAAGGAATGGCAAAATTGTAAGCTCTCTCCCTCCTACGATTTGTCTCTTCTTTTTTGTTTTATACAGTCTTCCTCTGCAAATAGCTCGATATGATCTGATTCTTTCTAACATGAAATAGCTTGTAGTGAATTTCAAGGCTTCGTGGTGTTTACCTAGTAAAGAAATAGAACCGATATACCATGAGCTTGCGTCCACATACACCTCAATGATATTTGTTACTATAGACGTTGAAGAGCTCGCTGTAAGTAACCAAAAAACTTCTGTTCCTTTGAATGATTTCATGTGAAGATGGGAGCTCACAACTGAGATATTTGGGGGTTAACATATGTGTAAAACAGGAATTTCGTAATGAATGGAACGTGGAAGCAACTCCAACAGTAGTGTTCCTTAAGGATGGGAGGCAAATGGATAAACTTGTAGGTGGCGATGCTGCAGAGCTTCAGAAGAAAACTGCAGCAGCTGCAGATCTCCTTCTCAGACAATCTTAACTGTATTCTAGTTTCCATGTCGGAACAAAGAAACGGTTTCCAGTAGTTGTTTGCAGATTATGACAGTATCACCTGAGATTTGTTCGGTTAACTTTGATGCATTCTTGTAATTTTAATCTCAATCGTAGACATGGCTCTAATTATTGTATGTTAATAGTTGCCTTAATAACATTTGGAGTTACTCAAGATTTTTAGTCGTCTTTTTACATATTTATATTTATTTTATACTCTTCTGACTCTTTCGAAGACTGATCAAGAATTGCAAGAGATGCAAGGGCTATTCTCTGAGACATTTACTGAGCCACATAGATCTAAATCAATTTTATTGCAAAGCAAAACTCTGCTTTTCAGCAGCTCTGTGTTGGTTACATACTGTTAATAAGATACAGCTCGCAAATAAGCTATGAATCAGAATCTGACCCTGAATCTGTTTCTGCATCACACTGCACTCCAAAAGGTCTCAATCTATTTGTGTTTGCTTCCAATGGGGGCATGCCATCATCATCATCATCACTAGAATCAATTTCACCATCATTTTCTTGCGGTGGAATGGGTATTTGAGAGCTTTCGTCAGCTGGAATTGGTTTAGTATCTTTGAAGATTTCCGGCCTGCATTCACCATGTCCAAACTAACATGAGCTATGTTGCTCAAATTTAAATGTCATTCATACAGAGCAAAAGAAAGAAGCTCTACCAATCTGGAGACTTCTGAAGAAGACGGACTTGCTCAAAAAATAGAACTTTACAGACAATAGATGTAACTTTGCTGCCAGACTCTTGAGCCTTTTCCTTTCCTGTATGGTCAATCACTACAAAGCTTCCTGCAAATCAGTGTAGCAACAACACAAAAACACCATCTCAAACTCCTGCAATCAGCATCAAATCATGCAGTAAATCTAACTAATTACAAGAATGATTAAAATCTAGATCGTAAGGAAAGATGTAAGAAGAAGACTGAGACACAGCATAAACTAGTAATAACACTAAGCTCGATTTGATGTTTCCCTGTTCCTTTCCTCTGTTTGAACAAGCCTGAGAGAAGAATCGAGTAACATTGTTTATAAAAGCACCAAAGTTTTACCTCGTCTGATCCACATGCTCTCACGAAACTTGGCTGGAAACAAAGCTAATGAGCTCTCTCCTTTTGCATCCATTATCTTCAAAAGAGACAACAAATCAATTGAAAACTGTAGCTGGTCTAAATCTATAACATGAAAGGAAAGTAAAAATTCCAAACTTTTAATTCAGTACATACGTTACAAACTACGTCAATCCACAGAAAGAAAAATCCAATGAAAAAAACGCAACGAATTTGTGAGATTGCATAGACTATAGAAACCCAAACAAAAAAGGCGTTTCTTTTTACCTCAATTTGATTGGAACCTCTGAGAGAGACGACTTGGGCAATGCTTTGACATTCCTCAAGCGTGAAATCCTGCTCGGACGCCGCTTGTTTCAGATTCCTTCTTCCTCTGTTCATCTTTCCTAACTCTTTAACTCAAATTCCAAAAAACCACAAAATTCTAACAACAAAATTACAACCAAAATATCAAAAGAGATTAGGGTTTTGCAGTCGTGAGCCGTTTTAGTAGAATCGCACCAGTTCCTATAGAGAAGCACAATAAAGAAGAAAAGTTGTTCTGTTCAACGAGGGTAGTTTTGTTATTTTAGTTTATAATTTGAGGGCATTATTGTCACTACAGCCACGTCGGTGCACACGAATTTGCAGATAAACCGGAAAGTTTCGTTATAAATACAATCATGCGGTGGTCTATAAATCTTCCCCGGCGCTTAGTTTCCACTCCTCCAGCGTCTCTGCCGATTCGTATTCCCTGAAATTTTAACGAACACTCTTTCACTTCACAGGTTTGGAATTGTGTTTTCTTTATTTCAATGTAACCTGAGTTTGTTTTCGTGTGAATCATATTTTGAAATTGCATAAAGTATCTGTTTTTAAGCTATGAAATGTTGATATTGCATAGAGTTTCTAGCTTGTTTCTGAATTTGTCTCCTCACTAATGAGGTCTATATTTTTGTTTTTTTGCAGTGATGGGTAGGAGAAAACAATCCAAGCCACAACGTTCAGTGGGTTTGATCACTCAAACTGGTTCTGAATCAGATAGGAAGCAATTACCCGACGACGAAGCTGAGGGCTCTGGAGAAAAGATTGTTGAAGATATTGACAAGCCTTATTATGTGAACATAGGTTTAAGTAGTCGAACTTCAGAGCAGTACCACTTTGATTTAGCTGAAGCTGTTCTAACGAATTTGAGTTTTAGAGAAGGTGTAGGAAATAGTAGTACAGTCCCATCCGTTGAGATTGATCATGATATTGATTGCTCATTACGGTTTCGGCTATGTAATGTGACCAGTTTTGTTGATCGGATTAAGCTTGGTCATTGGCCGGTATTGTCTGCCAGTGATATAACTTTGGAATTGGTTGATAATAAGGTGTCTGATGATGTGGCTGGCTCAGTGATTTGGTCTGCTAGTTTTGATGGTCCAGGTGAAGGGGTTTCAGGTCTTGCTCATTTGGCAAGTATCAAGTTCTTGACTTTAAGGCTCGTGCCGGGTAATCAGGGCTTGTTGTCTCCTAGAGTTAGAGTTGAGATGCTTCAGCAGGCCTTTGATGCCTGTGATTCGCTTCTTGAGAATACGAGGCAAATATGGAAAAAGAGTATGATTCACGTCATGTCTTGGTTGAGGCCAGAGGTTATGACATCAGAGGCTAGGTATGGGACACAACTAAACGTGAAGGAAATTGAGTCATCAGTCGTGTCGGAAGCTGAAACTTTGGACTCTCGTAAGCAGTCTAGGTTTGATGCTGCTACTTTTTATGAAGCCATAAAGCCATCAAAGTGAGTAAGCAAAGTTTATCTTTCTTATTTTTGTGCGCTAATGTCTGAGTGTTTCCTTAATTGATTCAGGACGAATGCGATGCTTGAAGATGACATAAATGATTTGCTCCCAGAACTTAAGCCATACCAACGACGTGCAGCTTATTGGATGGTTCAGCGAGAGAGAGGAGATCCAATAACATGGGGAGACAAGGAAGACAACCAATTCATTTCACCTTTGTCTCTCGCCGTGGGATTCCTTGACTCTGCTAAAAAAATGTTCTTTAACCCGTTCAGGTTAGTAGAAAAGAATCTAAGTGATCTCCTTTTTTTTTGTCTTCGATTCGATCCTTTTTATTTCATCTGAACTATAAGCTCCTCTCAATGTACAACAAATAGTATAAGTTCTTCTCAGTAAAGTTCCACCATTTACAGAAGAACTTAATTTGATCTGATCCGTTTGTCATGGTTTGGTTGTTTTTAGTGGGAATATCTCATTGACTCCAGAATATTTTTCACCTCGAATTCCAGGCGGTATTCTTGCTGGTATGACAAGTATTGCAGCTTCATTTTGCGTCCATGTAATATATTATTAGAAAATTATTAATGAGGATAATTTTGTTTGACTTGCTTTCATGAAGAAAAATTTCGGAAATATATGCTTCAAGTTTGTGCTAGATGTTGTATCTGGCATTGTCTACCTCTCAACTGCTCATGCATTTATCTTTTGTTAATTTGCTGATATTTCATTCTTAATGTGGTAAGTTTTGAATGCTGCAGATGAAATGGGATTGGGAAAAACGGTTGAACTACTTGCTTGCATCTTTTCTCATCGAAAACCAGCTGAGGATGAAATATCTGTGTCTAACGTGCCAACAGTTACTGATGATTGGAACACTGGTTTGAAAAGATTGAAAAGAGAACGTGTTGAGTGCATATGTGGAGCTGTCAGTGAAAGTCGCAAATACAAAGGAGTTTGGGTACAGTGTGACCTTTGTGATGCTTGGCAGCATGCCGATTGTGTAGGTTATTCTCCTAAAGGGAAAGGTAAGAAGGCTAGTCAACATGTTGATGAAAAAGTATCTCAAAAGAAGACCAAAAAGGATGCAACGGAAATTATTGTCAGACAAGGTGAATACATCTGCCAATTGTGCACTGAACTTCTACAAGTCACTGCCTCTCCCATCTCTACGGGTGCCACTCTTATTGTCTGTCCAGCTCCAATATTATCACAATGGCATTCCGAGATTACACGGTATCAGATTAGAGGAAAACTTAATAAGATGATTTTTCACTTGACGTGATTCTATTTAACTTTTTTGTCTTCGCATCATATAATGTAAGTCTTCTTTCCTTCTTTCATCTGTCCTGTTGTAGGCATACACGCTTGGGCTCACTCGTAACATGTATCTATGAAGGTGTGAGGAATGCCTCACTCTCTGAAGAACCTATGATTGACATCACTGAACTCCTCAATGCCGACATTGTTTTAACTACATATGATGTCCTCAGAGAGGACTTGACACATGATTTCGACAGGCATGATGGTGACCGGCACTCTCTTAGATTCCACAAAAGGTGCGATTACTGATTTTAGGATTCTTGTACCTCGCAGTTTCATTGTATGATGAACTTGGTCGTACATGATATATTGAAGAAAATGTATTATTAAAACATTTTATAGATTTTTCCAATATGGATTAGTTTCACACTCATGTACTCAGACGCGCCATTTTGAACAACACGAACTTTAATCTGATAGGATTGTTGCTTTATCTCTTGGTTTCATGCAATTGTAAAGCTTTCGGAAAGATGAGTAAAGATTTTGTATTGTGTGATAGGTACCCTGTTATTCCTACTCCACTTACCAGAATATTCTGGTGGAGGATTTGCTTGGATGAGGCCCAGATGGTGGAGAGCAATGCAGCTGCTGCAACAGAGATGGCATTGAGATTATATACCAAACACCGTTGGTGTATCACTGGAACTCCTATACAACGCAAACTTGATGACTTATCTGGACTGTTAAGGTTCCTTAAAGCAGTTCCTTTTGATGTTTCAAGATGGTGGACTGAAGTTATAAGAGACCCATATGAGGTTAAGCAGACAAAAATAGTCCATTTTCTTACCTTTTATGGGTTTTCTTGGCTAACAACCTTCTTGCTTTGTTCAGAGACGAGACGCAAAGGCTATGGAATTTACGCATCAATTTTTCAAGCAAGTTATGTGGCGTTCTTCAAAAGTCCATGTCGCTGATGAGTTGCAACTTCCACCTCAAGAAGAATGCGTCTCGTGGCTCCAATTTTCTGCAATTGAAGAACACTTCTACAGTAGACAGCATGAAACTTGTGTGAGTTATGCCCGTGAAGTTATAGAAACTTTGAAACGTGATATTCTTAAAAGAGGTACCATGTGGGGCGAATAGTGTCTTCTGCACTTTCCACCTTTGTCCTTATAATTTTCTCTCGGAAATTTGAAGGCTCTTTCTGTACTGGCTGCTAAAAATTTTCTCCCACTTGTGATGAGTACAGGTCATACTTCTTCTGATAATCCTTTAATCACTCATGCGGAAGCTGAAAAACTGTTGAACTCACTCTTGAAATTGCGCCAAGCTTGCTGCCACCCTCAAGTAGGAAGTTCAGGTTTACGTTCATTGCAACAAACTCCAATGACCATGGAAGAAATTCTAATGGTGAGTTTGCATGATTTAGCAGTTTGATGTTTGTTAGTAATTTGTGCTAATATAAGTTTTTTCTTAGGTCCTTGTTAAAAAGACCCAGAAAGAGGGAGAGGAAGCTCTCAGAGCGTTAATCGTTGCATTAAATGGGATTGCTGCTATTGCCATGCTTAAGCAAGAATTTTCCGAAGCAGTATCATTATACAAGGAAGCATTAAATGTAACTGAAGAGCACGCCGAGGATTTTCGTCTTGATACATTGTTAAATATTCACATTCTTCACAACTTAGCTGAGATACTACCAATGGCCGGAAGCAACAGTACTGCGTCAGGAAGGCCTAAAACTAAAATAGATGAAAATGATGATGATCATTATCGGGCATCGAAAAGGCAAAGAATCAATCAGCTCGAGAGTTTAACTCATGATTCTTCAGAAGCAGCACAGCGGTTTGAAGCCGTTGCTCCAGATAATAATTTAAAGAAGGATGGAGAGTATTATGAAGAGTGCAAAACTCTGGATATAGTTTGCGACACATTGAAAGTTAAGTATCTATCCTCATTCAACTCAAGGCTTTCTGCGGCTCAGCAGGAATTCAGAAAGTCCTACAATCAGGTATTTTGCACAAAATGATTTGATAATGTTTATATTTCTTTTCTTTTTTTGTTAATGTCAAAACGCTACTTGTACCCTTTGCCAAAGTGTTAGTATAATGTACTTAAATTAAGTTTCAAGCTCAACCACGTTAAATATTGAGCCATCACCTATTTTCCTGGAGCTCGCTCTGTGTCACAATGCTAAATAGTCAAAAAAACTTTCAAGGCTTCCGAGTCAATGAGCTATATAGGAAAGCAACGTTCAGTTTGGTGGTTGGATGCCCTGCAACTTGGTGAACAACAGAAAGACTTCTCTAGTGAGTTGATTAGGAAGATTGAAGAGGCCATCCATGGAGGCATCGACAATTCGAGCTCCTCCAGAGCGACTTCTCGGTTAGTGCTTAAAAATTTGCAGTTTCATGAGCTTTGTTGTTGAAAGAGAACGTTTCAACCTTTAGTTACAGAATGTCGTCTGATTGTTATTTATACTTTTTTTTGGACAAAGTCTGTTGATCTTTATTATGAGGAATTATTTTCTACATGTGACAAATTAACTCACATGTGTCTGCAATATTATTAAATTAGCTTTATTAGAAGCTCATAACAGAGTACATTAAGAACTAACTTGTTAATTCCTTATTCCAGCTTCAGAACTATACATGCCATGAAACTTCATCTGCAGACTTGTATGGATATACTGGAAAGCTCTAGAAAGAAAGTGATAGATAGGATTCTAGAAATTGACCAGACCATGGAGAATCCAAAAATGGAGGATATTGAGCGTGCTGCCAACTGCAAGTATTGCTATTCAAAGGATGATGGCCCCACATGTATTCATTGCGAGCTAGATGAACTCTTCCAGGTTTGCTCTCTTTTGCTTTTGCGCTTATGTGAAGTTTAATTGATGTTAATATTAGCTGCCACCATCACCATGTCCAGGAATACCAGGCTAGGCTTTTCCGTCTTAACAAATCTCGTAGGGGAGTAATGGAAGTTGCTGCTGCTGAAGAGATAGTTTATTTGCAAAAGAAGAAATCTGCCCTTAATTTTTTCTTTATTGGTTTGTCATCAAGAAACAAGGATTTAAATGTACCTCGTGATGATAATGAGGAACCCACCAAAAGAAATGCTGGTGACGCTGTGGTTGTAAGTTACTTGATCTAGTTTGGGTTTGGTATTATTCCAGTAAGTAGTTGAATTCATTACTGACAAGAAAGTATAACCACATTTATGTTTGGCGTTCTATGTTCCTCCTCTTTTGTTTAAAACCTTTTGAAATGTCACAGATCATATGGTTTTGTAATGCTCGTCTGGGTCTGATACAAATTTCTCTTATGTTCTTTTCATAGGTTTCAAAATCTCCATCTGAGACGGAAATAGTTCTTGGAGTGATAAGAAACCATTGTAAGTCTTATTTAGATAGGGAAAGCAAATCGACAGCCACAAGACATTTGCATACCCTTGAGGTTATTGCCCACAAGATCTCTTCTTCGCTTACTTGGAGAAGTGAAAATTAATCCTTAATTTTTTTAACAAGTTCTGACATTTCCAATTTTTCTTATCTAATTAAGGTGATGAGAAAGGAATATGCACATGCAAGGGCCTTGGCTAGGGCTCAAGCTCAACTCCTATGCGCCTACGATGAGATTAACATGTCAACAATGAGACTACAGCTTAGACAATCTGAAGATGACACATCAATCTATGCTTTGAGCCAGGATGAGTTAGATGTTGCTAGTGTACTGAACACAAATGAAAAATTTATGGCTCAATCCTCGTTGCTTAGTATAAAAGGGAAACTTCGCTATTTGAAGGTAAATCTGTAACCTTGGTGTTGTTATTACCCTGACATCCTATTTATATCACGCAGAGAAGTCATATTTTTCTGTCTTACTATCTAGAAGCTTACATGAAGAGTCAACATTCACAAGAAACTTCATATGTATTTGCGATTAAATTTCTTTTTGTGTGGGGGAGGGAGGGTTTGAGCCTTTGGATTCTTCTCTACTTTGACTTTGTATAATATATTAAAAATCTTTTTCTGTTTCAGGGTTTGATCAAATCCAAACAGAAACAAGAATTCGAGAGTTCAGATTGTTCCTCACCAATACATGAAACAGTTAAGGCTTCAGATCCTGTAGAACAGGAAGGCGAAAACCTGCTTAAGCGAGATGAAGCATGCCCGATTTGTCAAGAAATTCTACGGAATCAGAAGATGGTTTTCCAGTGCGGGCATTCCACTTGCTGTAACTGTAATTACTTTGACCTTTTGATTGTTTGTTTCTCACCTTCAAATTATAAGCGTTTTTTTTTTCTGTTTTGTTAATGTACTAAACTTCGAAGGATTGATGTCTATTTAATGCATCTTCCTGAACCAAACTTCAGAACGTTAACAATATGCACTTCTTTGTGTTCTTTGACACAGGTTTTTTTGCTATGACTGAGCGCAAATCAGTTCATGAAACGCTGCAAAAGTGGGTGATGTGTCCAATATGCAGGCAGCATACAGATGTTAGAAATATTGCATATGCTGATGACAGACGAAACAGTTCTTCATCAGATCAAGATCACAAAGACAATGAAGCATCATTGGTGGTTCAAGGTTCATATGGAACAAAGGTTAGTCTCCTTGCTTCTAAGATTAGTTCACAAAAATTACTTCTTCTCTCATCTATTGTTTTTGGGTAGATCGAAGCTGTTACTAGAAGAATCTTATGGATAAAGTCAAGTGACCCACAAGCGAAGGTGCTTGTTTTTTCCAGCTGGAAAGATGTTCTTGATGTGTTAGAACATGCCTTTACTGCCAATAGCATCACCTTCATCCGGATGAAAGGAGGCAGGTAATGTAGTGAGAACTTTAATGAGGAATCCATCAAAAGTGGCACATAGGTAACCTAAGGAATTTATGTGACTTTATTTCCACGGGAATGCAGGAAATCACATACAGCCATTAGCAAATTCAAGGAATTTGAGAAAGATACCCAAAAGACAAACTCCCATCAAAAGGAGGCAACATCGATTCAAGTCCTACTGCTTTTGGTGCAGCATGGTGCCAACGGTCTTAATCTTCTAGAAGCAGAGCACGTTATTCTGGTGGAGCCGCTTCTAAATCCGGCTGCGGAAGCGCAAGCTGTGGGTCGTGTTCACCGGATTGGGCAAGAGAAACCTACTCTAGTTCATCGTTTCCTGGTTCGTGTATCTGCTCTGTTTGCTACCTTGGTCTTGTACAGCTTCAAGATCCTACCTGATGTGTGATTCACTTTGATCTTGAACTCTATATCTCTGTGGAACCAGGTAACGGGCACAGTGGAAGAAAGCATCTACAAACTGAACAGAAATAAGAATATGAACTTAAGTTCATTCAGCAGCAGGAATACAAAGAATCAAGATCAACAGTTCTTGACACTAAGAGATCTCGAATCTCTATTTGCTTCACCAGCAGCAGAAACAGCAGAAATGGAAGAACACCTGGAAGAGAGAGAGAAGAATCTGAGAGATCTACCGCCCTCAGTTGCTGCAGCATTAGCAGCCGAGAGGAGGATGAAGGAAAGTATTGCATCCTCGTCAACCACAAATGCATCATGATCATGAAAAAAGGTTCCAGCTAAGTGTTCGTTGGAGCGTCTTGCTATCTGTACATAAGATGGTGAAGAAAGATGCAGTCGAAACATAAGCTGTTTCTCTTGTGTTGTCAACTTGTCAACTACATTCATTACGTAGGATTAGCAGGCTTTTTAGGCAAAGAATAAGAAATTTTTATTTCAATTTATTCATTGTATTACAACAGATATTGCGTTAGGACTTCGATATCCATAATAACCATTTCAAAATCTGCTCTTGATCACAGCAATCTCCATCATCACAACTCTCTTGTCTATGATCTTCTATATAAAAATAAGAATATATGAAAAATGCAAAATTGGTTCTCTTTTCAAATAACTTGAGAGTATGTGCTTTTCTTGTGTTATAACAACATCTGAGAAGACACGTCAGTCTACTACATTGAAGAAACGAAAACACAATGCCCCAGAAAAGAACCAAAAAAAATTATTCAGCTCCACCCCATAGAGGCGATAACAAACTTGGAAACTGGAAAAATCTTCACTTTGTCTTGGATTCTGGTGGTTTCTCACTTGTCTTCAGCTGGGGGTGGGTCAATGAATGTCTTCTTTATCCAATCAAATGGCTGTAACAATAAAGAAGAGAAAACAAAATGAGTTTAGAAAAGAAGATCAGTAAAAAATTAAAGGGTCATGAGCTTAAAAGGGCCTAATCTCTTTCATAACAAACCACAGATTAGCACACTGTGACTGTCAGGACAACTTGTACAGAAAGATGTAAACACAACAAGGAAACTAAACTCATGTATCAGTTTGAAATTAGCTCAATTCGATTCTTGTTATGATGAGAAGGTAAAGATTAGATCTGTATGAAATCGAAATCAATTTGTTCATGGAAAACAGATTGGAGAAGTTTTAATCACCAGTTCGAGTATACATATAATATATCCATTTATCACCAAATCGAATCAATCCCTTTCATGAATTGCAATTATATGTATCTATGCAATGATGCTCATAGAATTAGAGATACCCATCTACCAAGGTCGAGGCAAGTACCAAACTATAAAGATGTTCATCAATTATGAAAATTTCAGCTTCCGTCCAAATCAAGCCAGCAATTTTACCAGATACATAAACATATAAGCTAAGGAGAGATCCCACATCAGGAAACCCAATTTGAGGATAGAGCTAGCTAAAATGATCTATGGTCGGAGAACAAAAGATTGAGATGGCTTACTTGGACGACCCAGATAGCGCCGGCTGCGGCGGCGATTCCCCATCCAGCGGCGGCTTGGATATTCACCGTTTGGATCTTTGGCTTCACGGCCTTGAGCAAACCAGCTGTTCCTGCCATTACTGCTTCGATCTCTCTCGCTCTCTCCTTCTCCTTCGCTTTCAAATTTTCGATCAAACCCCACACAAAAGATCCTTACCGAAATGACGATGAATCAATTCCAGGAATTTTTTGACATTAAATGAGAGCTTCTCGACCTAGTCAAACGTCAATTTTACACTTCATGCCGTCTCACGTGCAAACTTGAACAACCTGCCGTTTGTTTACTTTCTTTTTTCCTTTTTTTTTCTTTATTTGCTTAGAACTGGTATAAAACTCCAAAAGAGATTCAAGATTATTTCCTTTGTTGTTGATTAGCGTTTAAACTCCCGAATGCAACAATGCAATATATTTGGTTTCAAGAGGAAGAACAAAGCAACTATCAAATATCCAAACAATCAGAACATCATTCTATATCGAAGAACCAAGCTTTGCATTAATCTTCTTCCTTGGACTATCTGGTTTAGTGGCAGGTCGACGACCCTTGTCAGGACCACCAATTACCCCCCATTCATCAAATTGTGTCTGCCTTGCTCTTGCTCTTTCTTTCTCCTCTTCGGATTTCTTGGAGTAACAGTAAGGACAAGAAACTCCATACTCGTATTCTGGAGCTTCCATGTCTTCATCACTTATAGGCTGCTTGCATCCATAGCAGAGTTTATGTGTTCCTTGAGCTAGACCATGTTCAACAGATACACGCTTATCGAACACAAAGCATTCGCCTTCCCACATACTCTCTGTTTTTGGGACTTCTTCTAGGTACTTTAATATCCCACCTTTCAGGTGATACACCTGATGCAAAAATGGTTTGAACTTTTAAGTACCTCTGATATATCAACAGCTCAATGGTCAGATGATGTATTACGTTACCTCTTCGAAACCTTGGCTAAGAAGGAGGCTTGAAGCTTTCTCACATCTGATTCCTCCTGTGCAGTACATAGCAATCCGTGGCAGCGTCTTCGGTTTTTCAGTTTTGTCTTCTTTATCAGTGGTCTCAGAAATATTCTTTTTCTCCACATTTTCTTGTATCTCATTGCCTTCTTTCTTCAACGCAAATTGATTCTCCACCCAAGACGGGAAGTTTCTGAAAGCTGTGGTACACGGATCTACAGCACCTTTAAACTTCCCAATTCTAGTCTCATAGGTATTACGCACATCGATCACTACCTGAAACACAAGTAATTTAACAATTTAAAAGATCTTATATCATTAATCTACCGACTATGACATCTTACCAAGAGTAAAAACCACAAAAAAAAAAGATCATATTTTTATCATTCATAAACACTCTATTGATCTATTCAGAGTGAATCAGAACTTGAAAGCAAGCTACACAAACACAGAGGCAAATACAGGAAAATAATATGCGTCCAAAGTATACATATATAGCTATCAACTCTTTATCCAAATTTTTCTTTGTTCTTGACTAAACTTGCTACAAGATAGTAAAAAGAAGTCTCACGGTTTCTGGATCACTGATCAGTTCATTCCATTCTTCGGGGCTCACATAAGTTCCAACTTTTTCAATTGGCGACACACTGGGCATTCCGAGCGTAACAATCTGCACAGACATTTCAAAATTAAAACAACTCTTGACAATCTACAAAACTCCAGTCTTCAACTTCAAAGACGAAATTGCACCTCTTTCTTGAGTTTGACCCTAACATGATCCCATCTAAACGGAGCATCTTCGCCAGCTGCAAGAGGAGAGCTACTGCTATGTCCATGGTGAATAGCTTCTTGTTCAGGACTCACAGGTGTCTCAATTTGCCTCAAACCATTCAATCTGACATCTGTCTGTATAAATGCTAATACTTTCTCTACTGATTCACGAATCCCACAGATACTTCCATTGATCCCTTCTGGTGCAAGAATGATTCCACCTGAAACACGCTGGTGAAACAAGACAAGCCTACCTATTATACTGCTTGAAATATCTGATACAAAAGTTCTTGCTCAATTACAGCCACTCTAAGTCAATAAGATTGAGGAAAGACTTAACCTTTCCTATCAAATATCTAATAGTTTGGAAAGAGATAGAAGAAACGACATACCAATTCTTCGCAGAGATCCTTCAATGGCTTCCTGAAATCAGCATGGTCAGGAAAATTAGCGAATTTGTAGAACGAAACCACAACGAGCGAGCCTAAATCCGACTCGTTAGATTCTGGTCTACTCGAAAAGCACTGAGTATTCGTAGCCATGCTTCTCCGGATAGTTCCAGCGCTTGAACAAGCTACCGTGGATTTGAAAGAAGAAGAAGAGAGATTTTGGGATTGGGATTGAGGGTATAGTAACTCGGTTTTGGAGTTTCTACCGACTGAGCTCGAATCAACGCCGCCACTTGAGAAGGTAGAGTGTGTGTGAGGCGGTGGTGGTGCTGAGAGCATTCTAGCGGCGGCGAGGGACGGTGGAAATCTCCAGTGGCAGTACCGTAGCATTGGGTTCCCCAATTCAAAGCCAGGACTCTTGGAATTCAACTAAACCGGAGTTAACCAAAATGTGGGTGTTTTTTTGTAGACCAATTCATCTCAATTCTTAAGCCTTTTCCCTTCCTTTTTTTTTTTGTTTTTTAGCAAATACTATATTCCTCTTCTTCTTAAAATTATTTCTTTATGAATCAACTTAAATAATACAATAGTTAAACTGTGTAATATTATTATGTAAACTATAAAGCTCTAACAAAAAGGGTTTGTTGGTGAAAGAACGTCTCCTCGAACTCGATAGGCTAACACGACCACCTAACAACAATGGCTCAAAGGAGTCTGCTCTGTTAAAAACCGTCTTACGTTTCAAAAAAAGCTTTATTTGTTGATTAAGATTCTGTAATTAAGATTATAACATGTCTACCAAGATAATGGTTAAGTCAAAACAGTTGAAGAAATGGACTTTGTCCGGTTAATTCAATGAAAATATAACCGGGAAGTATCGAGTGGTTTTAGCCGGTTGGGAAGGAAAGACCAATTCTAAAAGGGGAGGATCAGGTAAAGGAAAAATACTCTCGGAGGGACTGAATTTCTATTTAACCGAGATCTTGTTCATTTTGCTAGTAATTATTATGGTAAGAAGAAATATCTCAATATGTAACCTAAATCAAATTTATATCTAGATGTTAGTTTTCCTTTTTTAAAAGAGCTAAATATTACTAACTAGATTTGTTAATTTTCCCGGAACGCATCATCAGTTTCAATATATATTTTCATTATTAAGTTTTGCTAACTAAAAGAAACTAAAACCTAAACAAAAAGACCATTATATTATGGAGCGGAAAGTTATTGGAGATCTGACGGAGGCTTCGTTGAAGATTCTCTCTATTCTTGACAAAGATACTTATGGCTCTGTGTCCAAAAATAATGATTCCAACTTGGAGAAGTCTTACTTGAAGAAGACAAGTACGCTCAAACATTCCGAGAATCTCGAGAGGGAGCTTAAGACCATGCTTCACTTCCACGCCAACCCCTTCATCGTCCAAGCTTCGTGCCCTCATCTTCACTTTGAGTTTAACCCCCAAAGTGCGACTTTGTGTTACATCTACATGGAGTATGCTTCCTTAGGCACTCTCGACAAAATGATCTCTGATGCTGGAGGGAGATTGCCTGAAGATAGTGTCAGACGCGCCACTCGTATGATCCTACAAGGACTCAAGGCTCTTCATGCGGAAGGTTACCTCCACTGCGACCTCCAACCCTCCAATGTATTTGTCTTCCCTTCCAACAGACCTGGAGAGCCGTGGGATGTCAAGCTCACTGGTTTTGGCTTATCTAAAGATCCTACTATGGACTCTAGCCTCTTGTTTCGTGGAAACCGTACGGCGTACATGCCGCCTGAAGCCGGTTATATTGCTGGGCCGAACAGATTGATCGGACCGGCCAGTGATGTATGGTCTCTAGGGTGTACGGTTCTTAAGATGTTTGGGGCAACAGCTCATGATATGAGATCTAATTTCGAATGGAGTATAGATGTGTATATCTCTCCAGTGGCAACAGACTTTTGGATGCGGTGCTTTAGGCGGCAGCCTATAGATAGGCTCACTGTGGATGAGCTCTTAGACCATCCTTTTGTTTCTGAATAACCTTTCACCCTTTCATGAGGCTTCCATCTTCAGTGAGGAACAAATGTATAGAAGACATCATGAGTTGATTCCAGAACATCCAGGCTTCTTCAGCCGGTGAAAAGGAAAATGAAACACATCTTCCGGTGACAGCTCTTCTAAGGTTTCTGATGCGTTCACGTATACACTGCTTGTTGTGCAAAGAAAACTACTGTCACTCTGTTTTTTCCCACCTTCCACGTCTGAGTTTGTGTTGCTACTTAAGTGTGTTGTGTGTACATGATCCATATTCCATACTTTTTGGTACACGTCATATCTTCATTTTTTTCATTCAAGTTTAATGTATCAAAATCAACTTAATTGTCTTGGTTCAGGGTACAGGCTAGACATTTTGATTGAATGCTCTGTTTCCTGGTACGGCTTATAGAACTTTATACACTTTTCAGGCTAAATGAGAATATTTTGGAACTAGACCGCCGGAATGAGCATTGTTTTTGTTTTTGTTTTTTGGTGAATAGAATGAGCATTGTTACAAGGCATACAAAATGGTATTTTCTCAAAATTCTCTTTGCTCCAAAATATATATATATATATATATATATATTTAAACTAATTATGATTCATACATTAGTTAAATATTTTTTTATGCATCTGAACATGATTAATTTTAACTATTTAAGTAAAAGGTCAACTGAAAAATATAAATAATTTAATGAAATATATGAGAGACCTAATAGAAAATAAAAGGATAAAAACATCAAAGGAATAAGATTTGATCAAACTCCAGAATTGAGAGAAATATTCACAAGATGCATAAAAAATGCTAGGTTTGTTGATGTACAAAAAAAGAAGCTAGGCTAGTTTATCAAGTACTTATAACCTATTATAGGGCACATGCCTCATCTTTGGACAAGCTACATCCACATCTGGACATTAACATAGCAAAATATCATTTCTACTTCAAATTTATTTGATTTCATGATGAAATACTTGTTATTGATAATTTCCTTCACGGAGAAAGCTTATGGATTTAAGCTACTATTCATCTTACTTTCAAAGACCGAGCTCTGAAAAAGGATTACGAGTTGCGTTAGAACTAAAATTTCAAAGAGAGAAACAACAAAAACATAATGTAATGTACGCAATGAGTACAATGTTAAACGGAAATAGTCTTTGTTGAAGATAGTCTATGTTCTTGAAAAAGATACCTACGACTTTGTGTTTAACAATAATGATCTTGTTTGAAAAAGACTAATACATTAAAACATTCCAAGAATCTCGAGAAGGAGCTTGAGGAACCATGGTACTTCCAGCATTCTAAATCTCATAAGCCACATCACGTATATATAGTGGCACATGGTGCATATACTGAGAATACACAGTGGAGACCTGCAAAAAGATAAAACACGAGAAACAACGCAGTGGCACGTCAATTGCGCCATTTGAAGAGAGAAGGGAACTTCTCTAACAAAACAAATACATAGCATATTAAAAAAGAAAAATCATTTCTTGTCAAAATATTTAATTGTTTGTATTAAAATTACCTTTTAGATGTTTTGAGTGTATAACATTATTATTTAGTTAATTGTTTGCATATATCTATTACAAGAATGACAATATATATATATATATATATATAATAATTAAAATCAAGAATATTCATTAAAGTGATATGACATGAGAAATGTAATAAAACTCTTAAGCACAGTTGGTTATTTTATTCAAAATAAAAAAAAAGACATGAAAATATATATGATGATTTGGAGTATGGAATTTTGGATATGCATCTAAAGTAAAGGAGACTTCTATGAATATATTTGTCTTGGAATGAGGAGAAACGCTTCCTATATTGTTGTCTTCCTCAATCTCTGACCTTTTTGCAAAACCCATTAAATTTAGCTTTTGAAACACACATATTTTTCTAATTTTTCCAAAAACAATAGTTCCTTAAAGTCAGTTATCCAATATAGTTGCTGCCGCCATCGTTTATACTACGAAGCTTCCTGCTTGCTTTTTATTTCTTTTTTGTTTTCCGGCTCATTTGTTAGTAATATATGATCGAAAATAAAGTGATGATCCCTTCATGATCGATCACAAGTTTCTAGAAACATTTTATCTCAAGTCTTACAAGTACGTACATACGTATACATACTAACTATCTAAATCATGCATGTTGTAAATTATCCGCAAAAAAAATCAAAGGAGACGTATCATGTATGAGAAACAATACATAATATATTAATATAATTGTTTGAATATCCAATAATAACTAATAATATGCCCAAACTAAATTTGAAAAACAATATTACTATATCTAGAAATATAAGTGATAACTATATATCTAGATACTAGTGAAGTTATTATTTCATATCATAACAGGATTAGTTGTTGATGAGCAGACAATTTTGACAATTCGTCGATTTATATATGGCCTGAAGTTTTTTATTCTATCCACGGTTCCGTTTTCCGTAGCTTCTACTAGCTATATATTACGGTGAATGATTGTTATTAATTGCTTCTTTAAAAAGTTAATTTTAAGTTTATTAAATAAAAGAGAGTTAAATATAAATATAGGAATAAAAACCTATAACTTCAAAACCAAACAAAATTCACCTACTTTAAAAGTACCAAAATAAGAAATAAATTGTTATTATTTGCTGCAGAATAAAAAGAGAAGATATGAATCCTACCAAATAATTTAATTACTAACTAAAAATAATGCATATTTTGTGAAATCATGCATCATGATTCATCTTTAGTTATTAATTAGTTTAGCTCGAATTTAATATTTAATGAATCTCCGATATAACCATCCGTTCCCATTTTTACGGTTTCGTCCTTCCGTCATGTTGTCAATTGGAACAAGACAAAATAAGCATATGAAAACGTGATATATGTGGTAGATGCCGTTAACAACGTATCACGTACTAATTAACGTACATAACTGTATACTTTTTCTTAAAGAAATTTTTAATTGGTCAAGTGTATATATATATCAACAATAGCTTTTGTTATAATACTAGACACTTGGCAAGTGTATCATGAATCTCAGATCAAATTAATATAACGATTTTCTAAAGAGTCAGGTATACTTAAATATAACAAAGTTATAGCCTTATAGGGTGACAAATTACATCTCATATATTTACCGGCACGACCAGAATATCCCATAAACGCGAGAACCGGCTCTAATTTTGTATATGCTTTGGGAGTCATCATGTCTTATAATTATAGAGTCCCTTCCTACGTTGAACGACCTTTTGGCTCCATATGTAGACATTGTATATAGTTGATCATGCTGAGATAAACAACTTTATACATATGTTTATATATATATATATATATATATATATATATATATATATATATATATATATATATATAATATGAACAAAAAGATAATGAATGGTTTCAGATTAGAACTGACAAAAATCAAACAATAATAGAACCAATCAACTAGCCAAAAGATAAATACTAGATAAAATAAAATAAAAAAAATGTACCTAGTTGAAATCAAATGTGCCGACCCCTCGAAATAAGACGAAATCACTAGGTTACAAAAAGAAAACTGGTTAATGCAAAAGTCGATATATGGTGGTTTTAGATCTGAGTAGTGATCGCCAAATGGGATTTAGTTCTAAATACAATAAACTTTTAAACAGCACCAGTGGCTGCCGCAAGATTATTAGTGGGACTAATTAAGACATAAATATAAGTAATAATGACTCCTTCGTTTATATATAAAATAGCTATGAGTTGGGTCTAGTTGAATTATTGACGGGTTCTACTTTTTAACTTAATTTGTTTTATTGCTGTTGAATTTGAACTTGTATATTAGATCCGTACGAAGCCATGACTGTGTCTCTTACGAATTGATTAGTTAAATCATTCTTGAGAAAAAGAAATTTTCCCGATAGCACGAAATATTATTCAACTTACACATTTAAGAACTATATATATAGGTTACGCATATTATAAATAAAAAACTATATATGTAGTTTTAAAAATCGTGACAGATCAATATCCAGAGTAGTCTTAACGATAAGTAGCAATCCTTTAATCGAGGGGCCTCTTTAGTTAATTATTTCTAAGACAACTCAGCTTAAGACTAGATTAAGCACAAAATGATGTATTAACAACAAATTGTTATTATTCTAATCCCCCATTTGTCATTTGTCAACATCATACTTCCCCAGTCACCGTTGACCTTTCTCTCATCATCTACTCCGAAGTTTAACATTTGAATATAAACAAGTGTCCATATTTGACAATCTCTCTACATGATTGATTAATCGGTTAATTGGGATTTATACATGGATTCCGAATTTTGATGAGAGTAAACGCATTAGTAAAACAAAGCTGCTTGAATTACATACTTCTTGGTTCAAAGTTCAAACCGAGAAATAAACACATACTTACCTTTGTGGAATACATATATATGATCCAAGTCAACTACGTACTATATATAACAACAAAAATACTGTATCGTACTCTAGAAAGTTACGCTTGATCTAATCTGTTTCGTTTAGAGTTACTATAAGTACTAATAATTAGTTTTCGTTGTTTTTATTGATGATTGAAATATTAAAGCGTATAAATGTGAAGATTATAAAGAAATAATAAGGGAACAAATGGATTTGACTTATGGAATTTGATTTGCTAGTGGATACACAATACATTATATAAAATGTGGCTGAATTTATTGTGACTCCAAGGAGTATTCAGTGGCACCTTGCCCCCTTAATGCCGTCACAATATCTCAGTCACAAATTGTATACCAAACAAATGTTTTACTATTATTCAAGAAAATAAAATAATTCAACTAACCCAAAATGAAGTTGTTAACTTTAAATTAAACTAACTTCTTTATATGGTCATATGATAGGTTAATAATTTCTTTACTATAAACGGATCGGATCAAAACGAGTTATATTTCTAATGATTTATGATCATGTGATAAGTTTTAATTTCTGCAACAGAATGTTACATTTCCGGTATTATAAAGGGATGACTTGTACGAATATTTCAATAGTTACACGAGTATTATTAATTAAAATATGTAAAGTAGTGACAGTTTCAACTTTTTAAGAAAATATTTTTCTTCAGTCCAAAATTAATATACATTAAAAAAATAAAAATTCCTAAATACTGCCAAAGGGATCAGGGCCAAGCAAAGCAATAGGATGCGGACAGAAGCTAAAGTGTGACTTGTGATTGTAATGATTTTAAAGCTCTCTTTTTACCCAAATGATCCACACCCTAACATTAACTATGTACTTTAGTGCTTTTTCCCTGCATTTTTAATTGGCAGTTCTCAGAGAGAAAAGACACATAAAGATAAAATTAAAATAACAACGTTGCTTAGTATAATTAATGAGGGTTAATCTTGATTACTACTTTTAGATCCGAACTAAGCGCTGTCTCACCACCAATCTTATATAGTATTATCATTTGGGTGTTAGTAATACGTTAGTCTATTTCTTAGAAAAATCACCTACGAGAGAATATCCATTTGAATCCTTCTACTTTCGTAAATGCACGACACTACTACACTCGTATAGAACTATAAATATAGTCATACTATATAATCAAAACATATACAATCATATTTTACCCACTTCCAAAATAAAAATTTACGTAAAATGTTATTCTATCTTAAAGATTATTCGACCCCAAAAGATATTAGTGGCTGCTCCGATAAATCTTGTCAACATTTTTCTCTCTTCTTTTTTTCTTGAAAAAGTGAATCTCATGCCAATGGAACAATAATTTGAATGTCATAAAAATAATACAATTTTTATAACTCCTTATCCAAGATAAAGACAAAAACATTTTTTGGCCAATAAAACATTTAAATACTAAACCAAGTTGTTGGATCGTTTTCATGAGAATTAAATAAATCCGCGAAGAAAGGAGAAAAAAAATATATACAGTATACCCAACCAAAGCCCTCAAACGTGTTTAGGGAGATGGCTTACGTAATTCCACCTCATGTGTGTGACGTAAGCAAAGCTTTGGTAAGCCAATGGGTGAATAGCTAAGTTTAACACTTTCCTATTATAACCTCGAATCCATGATCAAACTCATAGCTAAGTTTTAAACTTTCCTATTATAACCCTTGTATTCATTATACTGCCGTAACCATCTCTCTCTATCTCGTCTCTCTCTTTCCTAAGCATCTTCCTTTGATTTTTCTCTCTCTCTCAAGCTCTGAAAAACAAAAAAATCTCATTTCTTCTTCTCTCCACTATATTACAACATTTCTTCATTCTGAAATCATCCAAACCAAAAAAACCTAAAATAAAAAAGAAAGAAGGTAACATATACATTATAAGAAAAAAATGGATTCGAATAGTAACAATACCAAATCCATAAAGAGAAAAGTTGTAGACCAACTTGTTCAAGGCTTTGAATTCGCTACTCAGCTTCAGCTTCTCCTCTCTCATCAGCAACACTCTAACCACCGTCTCGTTTCCGGATCAGAGATGAGTGGAATAACAGGTGCTGGATTAAATTGCTGGAAAGAATATAAAACAGTTAGTAACCATTCTGGTGTGAAATTGTGACCCGTCGCCGTCTCCGTCCCCATCGCCGTCGAAGGTTCATGGAATGCTTCGTGCGGCGATGATTCGGCTGCTCCGGCTAGTTGCAACGGCGGAGATTCCGGTGATAGTAAGAAGAAGAGATTAGGGGTTGGTAAGGGTAAAAGAGGATGCTACACTAGAAAGTAAGTGAAACACAAAACAAATAAAAGTTATATACAAATATCGATTTTATCAAATATTTTTATATCTTTTATTCGTGTTTAATGATTTAATCTCCTTTAACTGTGATTTAAAAAAATTCCACTTCGATCTGGTATATGGATTCCATCATATATAATCGGTGGTAGTGCCCCATATTGAAATGATTTATCGTAAAGGTTAAAGGATATATACGAATATATATAATCACTGATTTTTATTAATGGTAGTGATAGAGAATCGTATGAATATGATTGATTGGATAGGGCCAATCACTGCTGAGTAAAAATCAAAATGGTCTAGTCATTTAATTAACAAAATCTTATAATTTATGATTTGCAGGAAGAGATTGCATACTAGGGTCCTGGAAGCTAGAAGTTCTGAAGACAAATATGCTTGGAGGAAATATGGACAAAAGGAGATTCTTAATTCCAAATTCCCAAGGTCCTTATTACTCCATACTACATATATGTCTGTACATGTGTATTTTACCTAGCTAGTCACAAGACATACATAATACATATAAACATGGTCAAATCATTTTCTAACCAGGAATGTCATGAAGCCGAATCATATGTTTATTTCGGACTTAAAAGTCACTATAGCTATGTGAATTTTGCAATGGCCTAACTCATTTATTCTCTTTTTTTTTTATATTTTGCAGAAGTTATTTTAGGTGCACACACAAGCCAACGCAAGGATGTAAAGCAACAAAGCAAGTTCAGAAGCTGGAGAAAAATCCGGAGATGTTCCAAATCACATATGTTGGCTACCACACATGCACTGCCAGTGACCAAACACAAGCCAAGGTGGAGCCAATAGATCACGGTATCATCATGGATTCGGACAAACCATTGGACGCAACTAGTGCTCAGAACCATGTCAATGCTAAGATACAAGAGGAAGATAACAACATCAGTAGTGTGACAGAGGTAAGCATAGTGAAAGAGGAAGAAAAAAACAATGGTGATCTTTATAAAGACTATTGTGAAGGTTCTTCGACGGATGGGGATTTGTCATTGGTTTGGCAGGAATTGATGATGTTTGATGATCATCATCAAAACCAATACTGTTTTGGTGAAGTCAGTACTACTTCTCATCATCATTTAGCTTTCGTCGATAACGATCAGTTTTCCTCCTTTTTTGATTCATGTTCATAGTGGTAAGTCATCACCAGGCCTGTAATATTTCCACCTTCTTTTGGAGTATGTTTAGTGAATGTGATATTGTTGTTGGTACGTTTGACAAAAACACCATATATACATCTCTGTATTCATATTTTGAACTGAGTACTACACAATTTGTATGTGGTGTTCTTCACTATTTTTTGTTTCACAAGTTCATTTTGGAGAAATCATTAGGTTCGACAATAAAGATGTAAGAAACTTGAATAGAATACCATTTAAACTATTTGGAATTAAGCCAAGCTCCCACGAACTGTAACAACAATTCCTCTAGATAATTGTTTTGGCTATTTGATTGTAAGTGCTTTTAATGTCGGCTTCAATCATTATAGTCCATAGATATGATATATGAATGTGATTACTTAAGGAGTGTAAAGAGCTTATCCATCCATTCGAAATTGCGGCTATGAATGTTTGGTGCTAAAAAAAGGAAGAAACTGGGACAAATGCATCATGGTACTGGCGTGCTTGTCTTTTTGTTGTTGCCTTTTTCGTAAGGATCGCCGTGTACACTAGGGCAATTATTATTATCTTGTCACAAAAATAAAACAAAATTAATTAAGCTATAATATCTATGTTCGGTACTCTCAAAATTCTACTAAAAATAGAAAATAGATTCTTTAATTTTTTAATTTGTACGTACATGTGATACTTTTTATAGATTCTTTCTCTTACTTAAATCAAGCAAATTAATTAAAAATTAGTAAAAGATAAGATGTCCGAATATGCTGAAACTCAACAAAAATTTGACAAATTAAAAATCATCTCTAATTCAATGCTTATATTTCTATATATTTTAAGTTGTATTTACATATATGTAGGACAAAAGTTTGTTCAATTTTATAAAATCAAAATCTTTGAAAAATTGATTGCTAGATATGATGAATTTTTTTTCTCTCTAGTTATAAAAAAACCTAAACACTAAACTAAATTTGCAGTTCGTTCAACATCTCACACATCTTTTACGTATATAAATATGTCACAGTTTAGAGTTATACAAATAATTGAGAATAAGTGTCGTCACCGTCGACATAACAAACACACATGATGAACGAAGGCCCATACATGAGAATAGTGTCGGCGAAAGGACCATCACTTCCACTCGAGCAGCTGATTTAGACACTGAAGACTCCTTTTTCAATTATTTGGATTCTTTGGTTTTTTCTTTTTTTTTTTAAAGACAACAAAAAAGAAAGAAAGACCAAGAAGTTCGTGACAATTAACGACATACTGACAAAACAACAATTGATTTATTCTGAACACAACCATCGAATTTGCTTTGCATACATATGCAAGGAAATTGCAGAATTGCTCTTCTTTGTTTATTCACATGGCCCAATATAAATACCTTTATACTACTAGTGTATATAAAGTGTACACAATGGGAATTAGTATTCCCGTTACGTAAATAATTTATTTCAGATCCAATTAAATCACCTTTACGCTAGCTAAACTTGAATTAAGTTCATATTATTATTTAGTTTCTTTATGAGCTCCTTTTAGTTTAGATGTGTTTTTTTGTTTTTCTGCTTGAATTTAAATAATTACTTGTCAAGTAAAAATAGACTGTTTCTAGAAACTAGCAAATGAAGATGGAATTTATCAAAATACATACAATAGTTGAACATCACAATCAATGAATGACAAGATACTTTTTCTTTGTCAAAAAGAAAATAAATTTCCCTAAAAAAAGAAGTGGATCACATTAGATCCCAGACCAGAAATCACGTGTAATGTGCAAACCCTTAATACAAATAATAATAAATTAAATGAAACCATGACTCCTCGTTTTGGTTAACTAAAACATGCCCTTTCTCTGTAGATGAAACCTATTGGTGATCGTCGCCGTCGTCGAGCCGCCGGAAACGCTGAGTTGGATCATTGAAAGGAAATATGAAATCCATGTTGGCTCCGACTCCGCTGCTACCAAACATAGCGTCCGTCATGTCATGGATAGGGGAACCATAGTCGATAGAATGGCCCGTGGTGGCGGCTACGGTGACAGATGTGGTAGGAGCGGTTGAATAAATATGGCAAGTGTGTGAGCCACGGTATGTGACTCGGAAAGTGAAGGGATCGTCATCGAGGCGTTGGACTTGTTTCTTCGCGGGACAATTGTATAACTTTTGATGGGTGCACCTGTAGTACGCCCTGCAAAATTACTTTTGATTATTTTTTATAACATGGATTTAAGAAATTAATAATCTTTCATAGTTCCGATCCATTCATGTGATAAGTAAAGTACGTAGTTATTATTAATTGCATGGGCTAAAGGCAAAAAGTATTGATAACGAAATCGGAGAAAGATATACGTTAAGAATGTAGGTCAATAAAGAATAATATATATAATTATATACAGTATATGGTTATTGTAATAAGTAATAAACTTGGTGATTAAGAATTAAAAAGAGACTGATTACAACATATGATGTGATGTAAATGTGTGTGTCTCGGTTAGTTAACTAAAACTAAAGGAACCCTTTTATGATCATGTCATCACTTTTTAAAGAAAATATATTCATTTTTATCTAGAATCTTTGACTATATGCTCATTTATCTAGAATCTTCGAGACTATTTGAACATTTGGGAGGAACATATTAATCATTAATCAATTTATTAGTACTAAACGTAATTAGTAAAGTTAATTACCTAGGAAACCTAGAACCAAGAATTTCCTTTTGGCCATATTTACGCCAAGTATGGTTGTCGTCAGGAGGCATATCTGTGTTCCCTGTCCTTAGTGCCGCCACCAACACCGTTTGGTCTTCTCCTTCGTCCTTCCTAAACGACGTACTCATTTTAACCTACGTTAGTATTAGTACATACGAACGTACGTGTTGCATATTTAATGATCGTTAGTTTTGCAAAAGAGAAAAAAAGTCATAAACATCGGAAGTTTGAACGTGAAGTAGACTTGAGGTGGTTTCCCACTTTTGGCTACCTAGTCACATGTAACTGGTTCAACCCAGTCATCTCTCCCCTTTATGGAGTTAAAAATGTAAACCAAAAGGAAAAAGAAACTTGAAAGTAGACTAATCAATCATCGATTTGCCAAGAGTACTCTAGCCGAATGAATTTAAAAAAGAAAAATAAATTTTAGATATGTTCTTGCTTTGATCTTTTGGTAAAATTGGCTGATGTTCTGAATCATACACCACTTATTCACATTTTTATTATGTTCTGATTTAGCTACGCATGTTATCAGTCATAATATTTATCAATAATATGAAAGTGGTTATATGAAAGACATAATGCGTCAAGTTAAAAATATATCATTTCGTCATAATTAAGCAGAATTTGTCTTTGGTTAAAGTATTTCTAATCAATATTTATTATACAGTCATTTAATTTTTCATCCATTCATTTTGTTTACATTGCCAATTTGTTCTATGCATTCTAATATCTGTACTTCTAGCTACTATTGATTATAAAATAAAATAATACCTTCTCCGCAGCCTTGGCGTGGAGGAACCGCTAGCGCCGCCAGATCCTTCTGCAGCCGTCAAAATCCTTCCTCCGACCATGAGCTGCGTCTGAAAAATGGCCTCGGTTCCCTGAGATGACGTTGATGACCCGCCACGCCTAAACGAATACTCTTGCATCAGACCTGGTTCCATCTGCACTAACATCTGGTTTGAAACGGACACAATCACCGGTTTGGTTTGGTTCAACGCAGTCTCGGAGTTCCTCATCTCCAGCAACAACATCTTTAGCCGCTCGTTTGCATCACCGAACGTCTTTGCGATCTCGCCGAGAGAGGTTGATAGAGATTCGGGTGGCTTTTCCGGTAAGCTTGACTCGAGCGTTTTAACTAGTTTTATTCCGTGGAAGATCATTGACATTACCACCTCTTGATCCATCTCTAACTTGTATATATTTTTCTTTGGACGAGTATATGTATTTTAAAAACTTTATGCACACATACGTGTATATATATAGACGAAGAAGAGATACGTACGCGACGGTTAATGTTGTTTCCCAACAGTTAGCTTCGATGTTGGTTCCAACTCTATCGAAAATTATGAAAATGGCGCAGATTATTCAAAGATTGTAATCTTTTTTTTCCTAAAGCGACATAATTACCATTTCCTATATTCTTTTGGGGGTTGGTTAGCTAAATTGGAATTTTCTTACTCGACAGGTTAACATAAGTCCAATAATCAAGAGCAAGCTTTTAGGCTATTTCACATTGGGGAACAACAAATATTTTTTTCTAAGTAACGCTATAAATATTTGTTTTGCAAAATCTAAACTAACCAATGATCTAACTATAGTGATTAACCGGCCATATTGACCTGGTCGGAGATATTTAGGATGTATGGGTTCGTCTTTTTTGGTTAACACGGCAGAGGAACTGGTAATAACATTGACCAAGTCATGGTCTTCAATGATTTAAAGACAAATTTAAATATAATATTTATTTATTTCTTTCAAATTTCAACATAACAAGATTTTCTTAGAAGTCTAGACGAAGACTCAAGGTTTCAATGCTCATACTGTTGAACTTTTTTTCTCTTGAACTTGAAGTGGAGACACATTATATAAGTTAAGAAATTTCTAAGGCGTTCAAGTTTGGTAAGTTTCTTGACAAAATATTACTAGAAATTTATCTTTTGGATCCGAATTATGTCTTACTATATAGTTAGCCCCTTATTAACAGTATTACATATACAAAACGTGATTAAACATTATACTATCTAGCTATATCTCACATATGTATATATATATATATATATATATATATATATATATATATATTGTTGTTTTGTACAAAAATCTCATGCAATTCACATATAATATTGAATAATTGTACAATAATCATAAATATATGACCCAAAACGAACAGGTCTAGAACCAAACAATCAAGTCAAAGGTTTTTTGGAACACTGATATGTATTTTTCCAAGATATACACTCAATGATTTAGACAACGATGGTTTGTTTGAAAGGATTGGAAAAATCAGAAAAGTGTTTACCCAATCATAGTTATAGGTACTACAAGCGTATTTTGATTTCGATTTAAATCAGAGCTATCATTTTACGTAAATCTTATGGTATGATGTATAGTGTGCATCTATCTACAATCTTTAACGTTGTCGATAGGGATATTTTAAGCATTTCCAAAACCCAACAAGATGCGAGACTGGAAGAGGGCACGAGAGAACCATTGGACAAGAAAAGAAGCCCACACACAATGTACAACCCACAGTATAAAATATCAACAGATCCAAACTCCACGACGTCTTATAAGCATATAAACAGCACGAACTGTAGAAACAAAACACGAAAACGGCGATAGAGTCATTACGTTCAGGTCGATCATAATAATTCCGACGAATAAAAAAAAAGAAAAAAAAAAGCAAAAAACAAATCTACGAAATTCTCCTATTTCCGGCGATGCAGATTGAAGAAGACGAAGAAGAATCATAAGAGCAGAGCTTTCAATTATTCTGTTTTGCTCCACACAGATCCGTTTGAAAAGCAACAACAACGTTTCTCAATTGCTGGATTAAGAAGGCCGTGGAAACATGTTCAAGTTCTTAAAGGGAGTAGTGGCTGGATCTGGGACGGGACTCAAGGATCTGCCTTACAACATCGGTGATCCTTATCCTTCTGCTTGGGGTTCATGGAGTCACTTTCGTGGTACCTCCAAGGTTATTCCCTTCTCTCTGTTTACGTGCGGATGTTTGTAATTCTGCATAACATGTTTTGAATCTGCCTCTAGGCTGCAGATTAGTTGTATGATTTGAATTCGGTGCTGTTAAGTGTTGCTTTAATGTCAAATGAGAGGCATAGTTTTTTCCTCTTTTCTCCTGTAGGCTGTAGTAGATTGATTTTCCATATAGCGTGATCCAGCAGCTTTAACCTTTTTGATGCTTAGTAGCTGTAGTTTTATAAGTACCACTCAGTATATACTATTGTTCTTGGTTCTTCCAGCTTGTGAGTACGCTGAGTTTTGAGATTCGCACTCCTCATAATAGTAACGTATGTGATTTTGGCTCGTTTGATGGTTTTTGTGGCTTTGTTTGGTCAATTCCCTCAGGCACTCATTCTATACAGATTTTTGGCTTTTTTTTAGGATATATATGTCTTTTTTTCTTCAATTGATCTACTTTCGGATACTGTAAGTTGTAATACAAGATCATATTCTGTACTTTTGGTTTCTTCAGGATGATGGATCTCCGGTTTCAATATTTGCTCTTTCCGGGAACAATGCTCAAGATGGTCATTTGGCTGCTGGACGAAATGGTGTCAAGCGCCTTCGTACTGTAAGTTCTAATAGATTAGTAACATGTTAGGCTCCATTCATACAAAGAAGATATTTTTCTCTGTTTACTGACGGAAACTTTCATTAAGCACCAAGGACTCTTACTCTTAAGTACTAGGAACTTTACTTCATCTAACTAGTGATTTACGGGTACCTTTATTTGTCTCTAAGAGAAGTATGAAGTCACAATGATATATATAATCAGTTTTTTTTTGTACCTAGTTAAGAATGAATTCCTCAGTTAAATTGACTCCTGCACAAAGCCAATTTTGTCACATCTTGACGAGCAAGTTTTACATAACTATAATTGTGCTCAACTGATTCATAAGTGGATTCTTTCTCCTTTTGTTACTATCATTGGCATCCTTCTGTCAAATCATCATCTACTATTTCGTTTTGCAGGTGAGGCATCCAAATATACTTTCATTTCTCCACAGTACTGAGGTTGAAACTCATGATGGTTCTACTTCCAAGGTTACGATCTATATAGTCACGGAGCCTGTTATGCCACTGTCAGATAAGATAAAGGAGCTGGGCTTGAAAGCTACCCAGAGGTATTAACTCTTCTTATGAACATCTAGGCAGAAAAGACATAAAATGCCCAGTGGCAAAGCCAGTATCATGTTTGACATGATAAATTGATCACCTATTGATTTGTTTTGTTTTATGAATATTTCCTTTTAGGGATGAGTACTTTGCACTGGGGCTACACCAGATAGGTAAAGCTGTGAGCTTTCTGAACAATGACTGCAAGCTTGTAAGTATTTTCTTACAACACTATATTTCAGCTATTAGAATATATAACCGGTGGCTACTAGATTTTCTCGTCAGTTAGATTTCGTTTTGCATTTTTTAAGGAATACATTGAATGCTCATGTCGTATATTTTAGTGACAACACTTAATTTGTACTGTCTCAACAGGTGCATGGAAATGTCTGTCTGGCGAGTGTTGTTGTTACACCTACTTTAGATTGGAAACTCCATGCTTTTGATGTTCTATCAGAGTTTGATGGGAGCAATGAGTCTGCAAGTGGACCTATGTTGGTAATCATCATTCACGATTGTAGTTCATTTGTGTGTTAAGCTTTGTTAATCTTGTCAATTTGAAAGCCATTTCTTTCATTTTGTTTTTCCCTCCCTCAGAATCTTAGAACTCAAACCTGCTGTCATATCTACATTATTTTGTGATACCCTTGATATAATGTACCTTGTAGTATCATAGACCTTGTTCATGTGACCAGGGTAAGAATACTCTGTCAGTGTTAGTCCTTCTTTTCATATTTTCTACCTTATTTCTATTGTTTCAGCCATATGAATGGCTAGTGGGAACACAGTACAAGCCGATGGAAATGGTCAAGTCTGATTGGGTTGCTATTAGGAAATCTCCACCATGGGCCATCGATTCATGGGGATTAGGTAAACCCCACAGTAATTTTGAATTTTTGTGCCTTGCTAATTTTCGAAGGAGTTTATAAGCCCCTCAACCCATTGTCCACTTGAGTGCAATTCTTTTGTTGAAGCCCTTTACTTCATTTTTAAGGTTGTCTTATTTACGAACTCTTCTCGGGCTCCAAGCTGGGAAAAACAGAGGAGCTGCGTAATACTGTCGGGATACCTAAGGTTTTGCTTTCATCCCTTTCTTTCCTCGAGTATATGTTTTTATGTTCCTCAATATCAGTTTGCGTATACATATGGATTCTTCTTTGCTTTTTCATATTTATGGATTAAGTTCCATGTATTTTTGATAACTTCAACTCCAGAGTATTTAGAACTTATACTAGCGATGTGATTTTTAGTCAATAGGCTTTGTATGTTTCCCCATAGTTTTGATGTGTTGCTTTTAGCTGCTTGTATGAATTTGATTTCTGAGAGCTGGCTTTCATTTCAGTTAAATTTTTCTTTTCTCACAGTCTCTGCTTCCAGATTATCAGCGACTCCTAAGTTCCATGCCTTCTCGCAGATTAAACACCTCGAAACTTCTAGAAAATGGCGGTAATCATCCTGTCTTGGTTACAAATTTTGTACCTTTAATAACCCAATGTTTCTCGATTCTCTGCTTAATCTGTTTTTCTGTATTTTTGCTTTTGGCCCTTCCATATGGGTTTCTTTATGCAATGTTGTATTATCTCTCGTAGTTATCTTTGATCATCCCTTATCTCTTGATTCTTATTTCTGACATACTTGAATTGGCAGAGTATTTCCAAAATAAGCTGGTCGACACCATACATTTTATGGATATTCTTAACTTGAAAGATAGCGTCGAAAAAGACACTTTCTTCCGCAAACTTCCAAATGTCGCTGAACAGCTTCCTCGGGAGATCGTGCTTAAGAAGGTGTGAATCTAAATTTTGTTGGGTAGTAAGATGACAGTTTGCCGTTTGAGTTGAGTGTTTTGTGTTTTCCTATTTGACTTACCTTCTGGTTGATGCAGCTTCTTCCTTTATTAGCTTCGTCCCTTGAATTTGGTTCAGCTGCTGCTCCTGCATTAACTGCCTTACTTAAGATGGGTTCATGGTTATCAACTGAAGATTTCAGTGTGAAGGTTGTTCAGTCATGCTATATTTGTATTAAAACACTTTTATCTACCCCATTG